GCTTCACCAGCAAGTCTACGTCGACAAGCTGCGCAGACGATTCATCGACGAGTAGCAGACCGGGCGAGTGCCGAAAACGCCGGTCTCCGTCGACGCCTACGCAGGATTGGTGTTCGACGACGAGGAGTTCCAGTCGCGCGAGGAAGCAGAGTACCGGCAGAAGGTCGGCTCGCTGCAGTTCGCAGCCACCACGACGAGGCCTGAAATTGCCTTCTCTTGCAGCAAGCTCGGATCCGGCCTGACAGTGCGGAGCGACAACCACTGGCGTGAGGTCGATCGCTGTCTGCACTACCTCGCTGAAACTCGTGACGCCGCTCTGGAGTTCGGCGGCGGACCAGAGTCGCTGGTTCTGGTCGGCTATGCAGATGCAGACGACGCTGGCGACAAGCAGAATCGGACGAGCACGGGCGGCTACATTTTCATCTTCGGAGGAGCAGCAGTTTCGTGGTCGAGCCAGCGCATCAAGTGCGCGACGCTCTCGTCCACGGAATCGGAGTACGTCGCGGTGACAGAAGCCGGCAAGGAGGCTCACCGTCTGCGTTTCCTCCTTGCAGAATTCCACCTGCTCGACCCAAGGAAGCCGACTGTTCTGCACGTGGACAACCAGTCGGCAATCAAAGTCGCAGAGGGCTTGGGGCTCAAGGGCAACCTCAAGCACATGGAGCGACGCTACGCATGGCTGCAGCAGATGGTGAAGCGCGGGAAGATTGCTCTGCAGTACATCCCGACCTCCGAGCAGCCGGCAGATTTTCTGACGAAGGCGCTGCATTTTCCGGCTTTCAACCGGTGCTCCGTCGCAATCGGCCAAGTGCGTCTGGCCGACGTGGGCGACGGGGATGACGAGGTGCAGCAGTAGGTGCCGTGTCCTTCTACACGGCTGGTGCCGTGACATGCGTGCTATGTGATGACTGCACGCAGACGGATTTTCTCCTTGTACTCTATCCCTCTGGGTTACGGGTGGACCTCTATTGTGGGTGCCCAAGCTTGAGCTGGGCAGGGGAGTGTCGAAGAGAAAAGGCCCCGCCCTCGCTTGGGCGAAGTCGACCAAGAATCACGGAACAGAACGGTGTTCGTTTCGTGGTCGTCGACGACTTCGGGGACTTTTATCTGCGTTCGACGAGTCGTTTGTCGACGAGATTATTTGGTCGAGGTAGAAGTGTTTCCTCTGCTCGATCTAGGTCCTCATCTACGAAGAGCTCATCGACGGGAGTAAAACGGTGTCGAAGACGAGCCTTTCTGATGGACGGAATTGGCAGAATTGGTGTTCGACAGATTGATGGTCGACAGAATTAAGTTCGACGAGTGTTTCGTCGAGCAGAGCGATTCTGGTCGACCAGAATTACTTAGATCTGAAACTCGCAATGTGCGCGAATTTCGCCCAATCACGAAACAGCAAAATTTCTCCCAATCAGGTAATTTCGGAAATTGTACTCCCCAGGAGAATTCGATTCAGTAAGGAAACAGAACCTGAAACACGTTTTTACTAACAGTAAAAACGTGCACAACTATGAACGTTGTAAACCTGAGAAACTACCAACTCAGGTGAAATCTGCATGCGTTTGTCGTTTCACCTGCCGTTGCTGACTCGACAGATTCAGGTGCTTGTCGAGGAACGTTTCTACAGGGTTCGTTGCCTTTGCTATTTGGTTCTCCTTGCTTGTACCATAATCTTGTTCTATCAACTTTTTCTAGTGGAACTTTGCTTGAATTCTACCAAGGCAACTAAGTTTGCTCCTGAGAATCACTGCTAGAACTCTGACCGTGTGTCCCACGCTAGTCAAGCTCTCCCGTAGAATAGTATTCTCTGCAATGCGACCAATGTCGCATCACACTCTGGGGCAAACAAGTAGCCTGTCATATCCTCTTTCAGTTCGGCTGCATCCAACTGCGCGTTAATTTGGTTTGTCCCTGGTTGCGTTTTAGATCGTGTTATTTTTGCAGAAATTGATAAGAATACAGTTTGCAGCTATTTGGAGCCTTGTTGCAGTTCCTCCCTAGCTGTAATTCCCGTGGAAACCCACTGATGATCCTGGTGTTGTCAAGAGCTTGACCTTTCCTAACTTCACGTGCCCTCCTTTCTCTCACCCGCAGTTGCAACGCTGCCAAGCCACCTTACTGCAGCATTGGCAAGTCGCCTTGGTGCAACGCTGGTAGGTCGCCGACTTGCAGTGCTGGCAAGTCACCGACTTTGCTGCACTGGCGGTCGACCTGTAGTGTTCTAGGTTGCTAGGTTCCTGGTGTAGTCATTGCAGCCTACTATCTTTGCATCATCGTTCTCTACCTTTCTTAATGAAACTCTTACAGTTTGCCCCATGAACACGCAAGTGCTAGGGAACACAAAGAACGCAACTACCACTCGTACCACCCGTGCTTTCCCTCGTAATCCGGCTCCAGGCTTATAGTGGCTCTCCGCATGAAGAACGAATTCGTTTGACGTGTGAATAGTCTTATGAACAATGTGTTGGTCTGGGCTGGTAGTATAACATGTATCTTGGCAGGTGGGCGGGTAAGTGTGTCGGAGATGTTAGAGGCACCCTTTTTATAGGTGACCATGCGATGAAAATTTGACTCAAGGAAGTCCAGTCAGCGGATTTACCGTGGGTTAAGGTGGAGCTTTGCGCGGAATAGTGATCGGTGGTCCCTCCGTACTATCACATCTGTATCGTCAAGTAACATGGCCACACATTGCACGCGCGCACGATCGCGGACATTTTGCGGTCGTGTGTCGAGTAATTCTTCTCAAACGGGTGAAGTTTTCGTGACTCGTATGCGATGGGTTGCGGACCATCGCCGAAGTCCAGTAACAGTACTGTTATAATGACGATGTTGTTGTTGAAGAAAGTTGGCCTCGCCCTCGCTTGGGCAAAGCTGATTTCGTGGTCACCTCCCGCGTACACAACCACAAAAACTATATCACCCTCTGCAGATGGTCGGCTGCAGCTCCACAAAGTTGAGCAGTGAGCCTCGTCAGTAGTAGGCCCGTTGTCTACTGACTGCTGGCGTTTCCCTGCCTCCCGGAGTCTCTCCCTTGCTTTACTCCTTGGCGCAGATCGTCTTGACATTCAAACTTGCGATAGCCGGACTTGTTGCATATGAATCAGCGTACTCGAAATGTTGTGACAGCAACATTCGTTGTAACGGCATGTACCGTAAGGTGCTCGGTCGTTCCCCAAGTACGTTGTCCGTAACGATGAAACCATGTCATTAGATGGCACAGTATGTCTATTTTTTTAGCGATCCCGCCTAGGAGATTTTTTTGCGAGATCTGCGGCTTCGAACCACTGACGTAACAATCCGTTCGTCTCGCTTCGTACATGTAGCCGACCCGTTCGACAAAGATTTAGATTCTGCATTTCAATTTGTGGTACCTAGTTTTTTTTTCTTTAAGAATTTGTTTCAATTTTGAGGTTACGGAAGGATGTGATTGAAAATTGTAGTACATATTATAATAAGTGAATACGGGCACTAACACACAGTGCATTTTTTATTTGTTTTTTTTGCTCGTTACAATGATCAGAACGTAACCAGGTATCTTTCAGAAACATCGCGCAAAAATGACGAAACGTAACATCCCGAAATATCTTCCCAAAATCTATAGAGTTCTTCAATGCGCGTCAGCAAAATGATGATAAATTTTAGCTGTGAATGCCAAGTTTCGGGTGTAACTATGTGTGATAGACTTTCCTGATAACGTGTGACGAGGGTGATATGGAAGTGACGATCCGTGATAGATTCGGCGGAAAAGGTGACAATTTGTGGTGGGAACAGTGATTCGCGCTGAACAAGCTCACTTCGAACTTTTTATGGCTGCTCGTATAATAACCCGAACGAAAGTGCACCCTATGGATCACGATTGGGCCTAGGGTTTCGGCAGGTGGTCTGGTCACAGAAGCACACGTGAAATTTCGGATTGCACGTATACATATGTCCTAATTCACGATAAGCTCATGTGAGAAGCCAGTGAGATATGAACACGTGGGTCGCACCAGTTGAAATGAACGGAACTGGGGTCCACACCCCCCATCGCATTTCGTATTTGAAAGCATCCAAGAGAATCGCTAAACAAATCGGTTCTGCGTTCGCTTTCCGCGATAGAGTGAAACTTCAAAGTAGTTCTGCGAGGTTCCACATTGGATTTTTTTTGCCAACTTCATGTCTGCCTGCTAGCTGCTATCTGCTCCTCTGGCAAGTAGTGTTTTAAGCCCTAAATACGAAAACTGAAGTGACTTTGCCATGCTGACATCGGGCTTTTTAGGGTGGTTCAATCACGACAGGCCTTTTCAGCGCCGTGTACTCGTAGATTGCACTGTCTAGAGCAGTTGTCCACAGTCAATTCTGCTCATACATACCAAACATCCGTCCGCCGCCGCTGCATTTTTAAAGCGGAGCTTCCTCATGGAGCGCGCAGCTGCGCTGGGCGTGCTCCTGCTGACGTGTCTTGCAGTCTCACGAGTTGACTGCGTTCCCCTTGCCAACTCTCAGGGTACCCAAAAGTAGTAAACCTCGTGAGCTAGAATCATTGCACATTTGAGAGCAGGTAGTGATGGAGAGAGTAGGGTTGGTAACGTCGTTCCCCCGCCACTTCCTCCCTCCATCACCCGAGAGCGCATGTGATGAGATCGGTCGAGCCGGGTCCTTCAAACCTGCTTTCCTGAGTTCCCTCCCCTCCTCCGATCCCTACCCCTCTGCAGCGCAAGTGCTGCTGGACTGTCAGAGGGCGTGGAACACAACGATTGATGGCTGGGTAGTTGGTGGGGACTGCAGCAAGGCAACGAACGTCACGTGCGATGCCAAGGGCATGATAACAGCCATGTAAGTGACCCTTGGGTATCCGTGGCTAGTGTGGATCACTGTATAATGTGGAAAGATAAGTTACTGAAAGCTATGCATTCTAATAGTCCATCCTTGCCTCCATACTGAGTATCTACAAACGCGTGCAAACACCACGTCCTCCTCTACTCCGGACGCATGGATGCATGCCCTCTGTTTGTTCCCATCAGGGCCCTGCAGTACAATAGCTTCAATGGTTCGATTCCTGACTCCATTGGAGACCTTGCAAATCTTCGTACCTTGTGAGTGCCTTTGTTCCTGGGCCGTTTTTGTCACAGGCGGTTGCACGCCTTGGACTCGGCAGGTTTAAATGATCCATCTCCGCCGGTTCGGCACGTGAAGGACGAAAGGGGCCCCTGCTCTTTCCGGTCGGCGGGAAGCGTCAAACCCCTGACCACGTTGGGTCATAATCCTAAACCCTAAGCAACGCAATGGGAACCTAGATCTTAAGCCGCCTTTCCTCAGATATAGGCGCATTTCAGGGCTAAGTTTGGTGGCTTTCTCGAGCATCGGAATAGCTGAGCAAGTCAGAAGTAGCACTTTTACACCCTCTGCTTGAAGCATTCGCCAGGAGGACGGGCGAAGTCGAACCGGCCAGTCACGAAACACCGAACCATCAGGAACCAGCTAGTTCTTGTTCATTGGGCTGGCCCCTGTGGTCTTTCCGAGGGCAAGCCAGACGTATATGTTTTAACCTTGGCTGTTTCAGATTCGAATCGTCGAAATCAAGTTCGACCCGACTCAACGGGCAGCTCGACCGGCGTGGCAGAGGCTCGCTTGGGTTAGCATTCCTATCCTCGTGTGTTTCCAAGGATTGTGTTCTCCCCAGCTGTCACCTAATCATCCTCCTCAGCTGTTGCTGTATCATACAATACCATGATAAGGGGTTTCTACCCACCTGCACCTCCTCTTGTGCGACTACTTTCAGTGACGAGCTCAAAGTTGGCATGCTGGACCTTTGGGTTTCCACGCTTATGCTGCCACGTAATTCTCGTGCGGTTCTGTGCGGTTCCTGCAGATTGTCACGCGTCAGGACGAGGCAGCCTGGGAAAGTACGGATGCAAGGATAGCTGTATATTAAGCGAGGCAAAGACAATGGAGTAGATTCACATATAGGTTACAATATATCATCGCGGAAAAGGAAATTTGCGATTTGGGGGGTCCGAAGGTTTTTCTGCGAAAAACCTGCGACTTAGTTGCGCGAAGTGTACAAAAAACAACGCACGCAAAATGCAACAATCCGCACACCAGTGTCGAGGGTTTTGACTGAAACAAAACTGTCACGCAAAAGTTGCCATTCCGTCAACATTTTCGCGTCGTGCGGTGACGCACGGTCGACACAACTTACAAGCGGTTTAGTACTTTGACAATGTTTGTCAAATGTAACAACAGAACAAACGAAACAACGAGAAGCAACAAAACCAAGCGAGTTTGTACAGCTGGAAACCCGCTGTCGTTTTTCCCAAATCTAAACCCAAATCAACCAACTCCAAACCTCAAACAGTGGTTGGCTTCTTCAAAAGTGTGACGTGTGAGCCTAAAAATCATTTACACCCAATCCGACACGCCGAAATATACACGTCAGCCACCCAACCAAGGCAAACCAAACATCCACCGAATATGCTCTCACCTTTTCCTCGAGAATCCATCTCCCTTGATTCATCTCTGTGCCTGTAGTCCCCCGTACTAATACACACAACCAACCTCGTTCTCCCCCCCTTTTTCATTTCTCCCTTTGATGTGCAGCAGGAGCGCGCTCCAAGTTCCTTCAAGCCGACAACTACGTGGCGTTTTAGAACGCCCTGACTATGTTGCGTTCGCCAAGTTAGTATCTTAATTTATTCCTGCCATCTCTGTCCCTTTTGCACATCCCTCTTCTTCTCAGACGGCGGCTTCGTTCCGCCATCAACGTCGCGCTTCAGTAGCTTCGCTGGATGCTGGGGTACACGTGAGTCGCGGCGAGGAAGGACATTGTCACGCAACATCGCAGGTACGTTCACCGTTGTTATCTCACAGGTGAAGTTGTACTTTTTTTTTTTTTAACGTCCAGTTTTGTTTATCATGTATGTTCAGGGTCATACTCATTTCAATGCGGCGTTTCATATATTTGTTTCGTGCGTAGCAGCTATCGTCGCGAAGATCCATACGTCCGACTCATGCAGTCAACCGATTTGGTCGACGGATGTCAGCATTTTCCTTGAGGGCATGCACGCTAGTAGCGACGCGATGTGTTTAGTTTTTTGCCATGTCATGTTCATTTTTTGTTTCGTATAAATTTAACCCCTTTTTACGGTTGCAGCTAAGTCTGTTGCAATCGCATCACAGTCGTCGCTTATAGTCCCGCCGCGATTGACTGTGCTAAGGGTAAGTATTACTGATGTCAAGCAAAATCTGCTATGACTAACCCCTCAGAAGCAATGTCAGTGGGATACGTAACATCACGCTATATTTGTATGTGTTGCAGAGCGTGTCTTGTTTTGCAGGCTTACCGTCAACCAGGAGTGCAGTATTATTATTATTCAAACCTAAGTTACAGCATACTCCAATACTACAAACCCCATTGGTGAGCATATAAGATTGCTTGTTTATCAAGTTTCCATTTCGTTTGTTGTTCCAGTTTACATTTTTTTTTTAACTGGCAGAGTGTGCAGGGCTTCTTAGCCGTGCATAATGCGTAGTGTATTACTGCTGGGTAAATTGTACTCTTTTTGTTATAAATTGAATGCCCTGTAAGATGAACGTAAAAATTAATGTTTTAATTGTTACCAGAAACGCACACCAATAGAGGAAAACCGTCAACCGAACCACGAAATTGCCAGCCAATGAAATTCGATATCGTACACCCAATTTCGTGCCGGATTGGTCCACATGGCACGTTTACGGGCGTTAATATTGTCAGGATCCGACGGTTGACGGTAGCGTACAGAAAATGCCACGTCAGCATGTTTCAGTTTCATCTAGCATACATCGTTTGCCACGTGGCGTTGTCGTGACACTTTCGCATAGGTTGCTCAAAAGTGACGTTTTCCACCCCCCTAGTTGCTTTACTGTATACCTCACAATTGTGTCAAAGTGTACAGTTTGTGTTGGGAAGGTGACGGAAAAGTCACTTCGCAAGTGACCGACGCTACCACTGTTGTCGAGTCAAACTTTTTTTTTGCCCGGCGAATGCAACTGCAAAGTTATGAAAGAGCCACTTTAAAGTTTTTTTTTGCACTTGCCTTTTCCGCGATGATTTCCCTCCCTCACTGTGCGTGTACATAACCCTCCCTCACCATGCTTGTACATGTCCCTCACGCACCATGCCGTGCAAGTGCACATGTGTTCAGCAGCATGTGCAGAACAGTCATAAACACAGGACCGCCGGACCCAACTGGTTCCAGTCATGCAACAAGCCCGCCTTCTTTATGAGCCCGCCGAACCCGCAGCCTCCTCAGCACGGTTTGGCTCTTCCCTCGACGAGCCGAGCCAACGGCTCGAGCTGTTGGTTAGGCTGGGGTGGGCCACCTGCTCTTGAGTCTTGCCTAATCCGGTCTCTCAACACATGCATTTGGCGTGGGATTCTTTGTTGTCTGATCAGGTCCCTGGTGTCTAACAACCTCAATGGCACCATTCCAGAGACCATTGGCAAGCTCTCAAGTCTTCGTACCTTGTAAGCTCCTTCTTCTAGGGCTTTCACTCAGATTGGATTGGAGATCTTCATACGTTGACATCTGCATGTGCTGCCACGGGTTTTGTGCTCTAGGGATGTGCTTTCCAGCTGCCTCTTACTCATTCATTTCTCCTGTCAATGGACCAACTACTAGCACCCAAGGAGGTTGCCTGGATCCCTGTACCCCCTCCTGTTCATGCATGCCATGCCATCTCCACAGTCACAGGGACGTGCACACAGCCAAACTGAGCCGAGCATTCCTCAAGGAATTGAGCCCGAACAGGCTCGTCCCGTTGCATCACATGGCTCTTTTGCTTGGTCGGGCGTACGGTACCTGGACCGCTCACTGATTTCCCGGCTGTTGAGGTGGCTCAGCACGACTTGGGACGAGCTGAACCAGCGAACCGAGCTACCAGCTACGGCTAGGCCACCAGCTCTTGCCTAACCCGCACTCTTGACGCATGTATTCATGCATGCCTGCCATCCGTTGTTGCCCTATCAGAGTGCTGACTTCCAACATGCTGAATGGCTCCATTCCTGAGTCCATCGGCAGCCTTTCGAAGCTCCGTAACTTGTAAGTTCCATGCTTTCTCAAGGTTTGCTTCGTTGCGAGAGACTTCATGCCTTGAAATTGCAGATGTGCTCCTGCCATGCCTGTGCGTGAGTTGGCCTTGGAGACAGGCGTTCAGGTACGGCTGGTATATGAGGCGAGCTGTTAGCTTCGCCACCTTCTCATGCCTCATTCAAACTCCAAGACACGTGCCTCGTTCAAAATTCCAACACATGTGCCTTGTTCAATCAAAATTCCAACACACGTGCCTCGTTTTAAATGCCCCTCATTGCTCTTTCATCAGAGACTTGATGTACAACAGCTTGAGTGGCCCAATCCCTGAGTCCTTTGGCAAGCTTGCAAATCTTCGTCGAGTGTGAGTGCGTGCCATGTTTCATTTCGTGGGTTGGCATGTGACCCACACCGCAGCAGCGCTGCGACATGGGTACATGTGCCATCAGCTCTGCTGCGACATGGGTACATGTGCCATCAGCTCTGCTGCGACATGGGTACATGTGCCATCAGCTCTGCTGCGACATGGGTACATGTGCCATCAGCTCTGCTGCGACATGGGTACATGTGCCATCAGCTCTGCTGCGACATGGGTACATGTGCCATCAGCTCTGCTGCGACATGGGTACATGTGCCATCTGCTCTGCTGCGACATGGGTACATGTGCCATCAGCTCTGCTGCGATCCACAAAAATGGCAAACACCATGTATGCCAGACCTTATCCTACAATATCACTGCCAACCAGCTACCCCTACAACATACACATCAGTTTTTTCATTCCCTTTTTTCACTTAACGTGCATCATTCAGAGAGTAAGTGGTTTGGTGTGTGTACACCAGTATACCATGAATATTCACCCCTTTTCCTTTGTCACTTGTGCTCTATGCAGGACATTTTGGGTTAATCAGCTGACTGGCCCGTTACCAGCAACGTTAGGCAACCTTCTGGATTTGACATACTTGTAAGGCTCTCAATCACATCACACTCACTCACATGCCATCAACTTATCGCTTCTTTTGATCACATCATCCGTACTTCTCATTTCGAAGTGGTCACTCCCTGAATTCACGAATTTCTCAACCATCATCAGTGCACTTCACTGCAGATGGATTTGTCGTATTTGTGTTGTTCACTGTAAATTTGCGACGAAATCCTAACGCAGCTGGTACGGCAGGAACCAAAGTACGGCCGTATCTGTAGCTGTCGGTTCAACTTGAATCGGTTCGACCTGTTCGACTAATATAAATCCATACCGAAACGTGCAACACGTTTGAAGTCATATCAAAGCCTTGATTGCATCTCTTCTCCAGGGATATTGCCTTTTGTTTTTGGCTGGAATCACGACTTTACCAGTAATGAAAGCTGTGGTCACACCAAGTCTAATCCGGTTCGCACCAAACTGCCTCTGGTTTGGTTCGAACCTCGAAATAGGCAAATTACTCACTGCTGGGACTCTAACCAGGCAAGAGCAGGTTTGGGCGCATCAGATCGTTCCTCTGGTCAGCATTCGCTAGGGGATTGACCTGACTCGACCCGGGTATATGCCGACCTGACTCATTTATAGCCTAGTCGGGTCAGTCAAGTCCTTAGGTCCCGACCACCGGCCTATGTAAAACCGGGTCAGGTCAGGTCAGGTCAAATCGGGTCAGGTCGGGTCGGTCGACTTGTTGCTTAAGCTGAACTCGGACCAGTTTGAGTTTCAGTGGCAAATGTCACTTTGGTTCGACTCGGCATCTTGCTCATGCCTACAACGAGGTAGCGCCTTGCGCCTCCAGCACTTGCTATCCACACTTCCACTATTAGCCCACTCCTCTCCCTTTTTGTCTTTTTTTTTGCGACTGACATCCTGCCTGGCTGTCTTCATGGATTCACAAAAAACTTTTCTTATCAGAGCAGTCTTAACAAACCACCAGTCTTCAGCCACCTCCCCCCCTGCTGCCCCGCTAAATAGTAAATCCGTACTTACCACTGCAGCCTTTTTGCTGCTCCTGGTGCCCGCTGATGCAGTAACAAAGGCCGATGATTTCAGAGCCACCCAGTCTCTCTTTACTGAGGTGGATAGGGGGCAAACGTGTGTGGTAGTTTTCCTCTAATATATCGTTCTGCCCTTACATCCCGTTCTCCTCTCACATCCCATTCTCCACTCACATCCCATTCTCCTCTCACATCACATTCTCTTCTCACATCCCATCCCCCTCTCACATTTCATTCTCCTCTCACATCCCATTCTCCTCTCACATCCCATTCTCCTCTCACATCCCCATCTCCACTCACATCCCATTCTCCTCTCACATCCCATTCTCCTCTCACATCACAATCTCCAATCACATCCCATTCTCCTCTCACATCCCATTCTCCTCTCACATCCCCATCTCCACTCACATCCCATTCTCCTCTCACATCCCATTCTCCTCTCACATCCCATTCTCCTCTCACCAGGGACTTCAGTTACAACAAAATCAACGGCACAATTCCTGCCTCCCCGTCAACATGGAGTCAACGTGCATGCACGCCATAGTTAAACTTTGAATCATCAACAATTCCAGATCGCATTTCAGAAAGGAACTTTGCACATTTGAAGCGATGCAGGCCACTCACTCACGCCATGTGACGTGTTCACATGCCCGTCTTCTGCTGTTCCTCTCACTGTTTTACACTCCCATTGTGCAAAATGCAGCTGGTTTCTCAATAACAACCTCACCGGTTCAATACCAGCAGCCTTGAGCGGGCTTCAGTCTGTTGATGCCCTGTGAGCTTCTTAAGCAAAATATTTTCTCGTTTCTGCAACTTACAGTCAAGCCCATCTATCATTTCTCTCCTTCAACAGTGTAGCGCCCACAGTTGTTTTTCCAACCTAATTGCACCATCAGATGTTCAATGATTTGGATCAGTCATGAGGACCATAAGAATCACCATAAGGTCTATGTCGGGTTTGTTTAGGAGATTTTCCTTTTTCACAATACGGAAAGTAGGGAAATGTGAAAAAGCATCCTATAATTATGGGGTATCGTGCTTTTTTGCACGTGCCCAATTGGTTTTCTTGCTTCACACTGGCTCAGAGCGATTGATCAGAGTAACCTGAGATTTGAGCCTTTTTACACCATCTGCAAGACCAGCTGCTGAGTAACCTCTTGTCGCTTACCTGTGTGCAATACTTTCCTTTTCCCGGCACACGCACGTGCGCCCTCCATTGATCACGTCTCAGTAACCTGGGCTACAATGGCTTGACGGGCAGTATTCCTGACTTCATCACCACGCTTACAACCATTCAAGGCTTGTAAGTGCTTTTTTTTGTTGTTGTTTTTTTTTTTTGTCATTTTCACCATGCTTACAACTATTTCTGGCTTATGAGTGTTTTTTGGTTTGGCTTCCTCACCAGGCTTACATCTATTGCTGGCTTGTAAGTGCTTTCTGGTTTGACTACATTTGCCAAGCCAAGCTGCCTCTCTGGCTAGGCTCGTTCTGAGCCAAGCTGCCTCTCTGGCTAGGCTCGTTCTGAGCCAAGCTGCCTCTCTGGCTAGGCTCGTTCTGAGCCAAGCTGCCTCTCTGGCTAGGCTCGTTCTGAGCCAAGCTGCCTCTCTGGCTAGGCTCGTTCTGAGCCAAGCTGCCTCTCTGGCTAGGCTCGTTCTGAGCCAAGCTGGCTGGGCTCATCCCTGGTCGACCCCCATTAGCTCTGCTCGACAGCGTGCGTCATGTGTGGCTCGGATGCTGTGCGTGTCTGTCCTCAAGCTCTCCTCTACGATTTTCAGCGCTTGAATTATAACCAATCCTTCCTTGCATCCCTGCTCTGCATGCTGCTTGTAACTCTAGTTAGGACTGGCCGAAGTTTCACTCACCTCAGTATTCCATTCTTGAATCCGCTCAACCTTTCATCTTGTGATTCACAGATTTCTCCATGGGAACCAGCTGAGTGGTCCAATAATACCAGGGCTAAGCAACCTTGTGTTGAATAGAGACTTGTGAGTGATATGGCTGGTCAACTCTTTAAAATCCAGCTGAGGGCTCTAAGCTGAACGCAAACCAGAGCAGGTGCGTTGCGTCTAGGCAAACAGAAAGTGGTACATCAACGTACTTGGGAAATAATTGACCGATCGAGTGCATTCTGAATAAATCGCACTAATGTTTTCTAAGACCCCAACTTTATGAGATATGTTGCGTAGAGGAATGGCATACATATCTTGCACCCATTGGAATGGCAACGCTTCAAGAGCGACTGAATCGCAGCCAATTCGAGAGCAAAGCCTCCTTTCAGACATGTTCCTCTGTCTCATTGCCATCTCACTGACGTGACAGATGCACCATGCCATCCTTCCAGCACATGCACTACTCTCACCGCATGCACTACTCTCACCACATGCACTACTCTCACCACATGCACTACTCTCACCACATGCACTACTCTCACCACATGCACTACTCTCACCACATGCACTACTCTCACCACATGCACTACTCTCACCACATGCACTACTCTCACCACATGCACTACTCTCACCACATGCACTACTCTCAACGTATGCACTACTCTCACCACATGCACTACTCTCACCACATGCACTACTCTCACCACATGCACTACTCTCAACGTATGCACTACTCTCACCACATGCACTACTCTCACCACATGCACTACTCTCACCACATGCACTACTCTCACCACATGCACTACTCTCAACGTATGCACTACTCTCAACGTATGCACTACTCTCACCGCATGCACCACTCTGGCCAAATGCACTGCTCTGAGCCCATGCACTGTTTTCACCACATGTATGCCATCCATTGCTGTTTCCTCAGATACCTTCAGGGCAACAGCTTAACGGGCTCGATTCCTGACTCCCTCACCAAGCTCTCAAACCTTCGTGTATTGTGAGTGCTTTTCCCCCTTGTGAATGCCACTCCTTCCTGGGTTGGGATAAGAGCCACAGTGCACTGGTGCAGACCCTGCAGCAGCATGCTTTTGCACTGTGCATTGCGTGGTGTCATTACATTAGGTAGTTACCAGACAGTAGGCTTGAGCAAAGTGCCGAGCTATGGCTCAACCCTTTTGGGGGCTAGCTCGCGGTACTGGCTCAACCCTTGAGGGCTGGCTCGCTGTACTGAGTTGAGCTGTGGCGCAATCCTTGGAGGCTGGCTCACGGTACTGGCTCAACACTTTGTGGGCTCGCTATACTGTGTTGAGCTGTGGCTCAACACTTGGCGGCTGGCTCGCTGTACAACTGACAAAAGCTTCTCTTCGAGAGCAGCAACCCATGTTCTGACCTTTTAAATCTGTACTTTTGCACTCCTCCCATGATATGACATGCAGATACCTTCAACGGAACAAGTTGTCTGGCACCATACCAGCAACAATCACCAACTTTCCGTTTTTGCTGATCTTGTGAGGCTCTTGATTGAGTCAACAGCCGATAGATTGTGCTCTGTATTGAGACTTACACGTCACACACACACACTATGTTCTTACCTAACTCTACTACCCGTCTTATTATGTTTGATTCCTCCCTTCACTCAGTAACACAAGAACGCCACCTGTTTGATTCGAACCATGCTGCACTATCCTTCCCACGCTTCTTCAGGAGTCTATCAAGCAATTTCTTGACCGGGTCTATTCCATCAACCATTGGGAGTATGACCACCCTGACACTCTTGTGAGTGCAATTAGAAGTAACCTGGGAGGACACGGAATGATCCGCCCTAAAAACTTTTGGAGGGAGTAGGGGACTACATACATAGTACTTCCCAGTCGGTTGGCATTACTAAGTAGTTGTCGTTCAGTACATGCTCCTGGGGTGGGGAATGATGGCCATGGTTTGGTCGCTTTCGGCAAAACCGATGTTTGAGTTGAGTAGACCCCTTTTTTTTGGTTGAGTAGACCTCAATCTCTTCCAGCTCAATGAATTTTATTCCTCTCCTTCCTCTCGGTTGAAACTCGTTGCTCATTAATCTCGAGTAAAAAAAAAGAGAACGACCTGAAGACGTACGCGGTGAGTCTGCTTGTCTATAGTGGCGGCCACAAAATCCAGATGCGCTGACTGAGAGCTTTTTCCGTGATTCGAGGACGAGTATAAATGCACTCAACGATACTTTCTTTTTTTTTTTACTCTACTCTGGACGAGTAAGAAATGAGTTTTGTTTTTCATCACTCGACTTCATGGTCGTCTAATGTGGCCCAAAGTGAAAGAACTCGGCCCAAGTAAATCCTATGAAGTCAACTCGAAACTTTATAGAGTCAAGCAAAAAGAAGTTGGTATTTGTCCTGCATAAATACTCATGTATAATATAAGTTCAGCAAACTTTACACGTACAATCTCTTGACCATTACCATATGGCCGTCCCTTCCTTGCAAACCTTTCTCTTGTCAGATCCCTCGGCAACAACAGCCTGACTGGACCGATTCCTGACTCCACAACCAGGCTTTGTCAGAATATTATGCTCTAGCCTGCAGTGGGGTGCTCTATAGCGAGTACAACCCTTCTAGGGTTAGCTATTTGTACCACCATTGTTGCTAGTGCAAACCCTCCTTTGCTTCATTCTCTCTTGCCTAGCTAGGTCAACCCTAGCTATGGCTCCTCATCGTGCTAGCTATCACGACATGCTATCAGAGCAGGACGATCCAGTTGGGTCGATCCTGTGGGTGGGCCCCACCACCTCAGTCTTCCGCTGCTCTACGGATTTTTCATCCCGCCGCGCGCTCGGGGCGTGCGGCGGTTTTCTCCCCGCCGTGCGCCCCGGACGCGCGGCGGTTTCCTGTCCGCCGTGCGCCCCGAGGCGCGCGGCGGTTTTCCTACCGTGGGGGACCCCCGCGCGCCCCCGATTTCCCGTCGCCCGCGGCCCCCCGTTCCCGTCGCCCGCGGCCCCCCGTTCCCGTCGCCCGCGGCCCCCCGTTCCCGTCGCCCGCGGCCCCCCGTTCCCGTCGCCCGCGGCCCCCCGTTCCCGTCGCCCGCGGCCCCCCGTTCCCGTCGCCCGCGGCCCCCGATTTCCCGTCGCGCCGCCCTGGGGAGCCGCGCGCGACCCCCCGCTGCCCCTTCGCGGCGCCCTAAGGAGCCGCGCGCGGCCCCTCGCTGCCCCGTGGTGGCGTCCTGGGGGTCGCGCACCGTCCCCCTCGCCGTCCCCCGCGCTCCTTCCCCCGTTCCGCCCGTTTTAGGGTTTGGGGGTGAGGAGTGTGGGGGTGGCGGCTATGGGGGTGTCGGTTGTGAGTTACTCCCCCTGCTCCTCCTCCTCCCTCGTCTCCCTCTGCTACAGCTGCCGCTGAGGGGGGTGGTGTGTGGGAGCCTAGGGTTTGGGGTTTAAGGGGGGTACCGTGGGAGTGGAGCTAGGGTTTGAAGCAGGGGGTGTGTGTCGAGGGGTGTGGGACTGTTGGGGGAGATTGAGCGGAGGTTGCCGTCGTGTCGTACGCAGCGCCTGTACTCCGGGGCACTCATTCCCGGTAGCTCAGAGAGCCGGTTGCGCCGTCGCCTGTGGGTCCGTTGCTCCTGCCGCGCGTATTAGCCGCGGAGCCTGTTACTCCTGTACTCCGGGGCACTCATTCCCGGTAGCCACTGTGTCGCACCAGAGCCGTCTGTTGCCCGTGTGTCTGCAGCTTCAGTCGTCGCCTCCTAATCTACTCTCCTCTCGCCAGCCCTCCTCCTCCTCACTTGCCCTCTGTGACTGCCTCTAGCTTTGCTCATAATTGTGAACTTGAAACTATTGCTTCTTGAACTTGTGCTCAGAATGTGTGGTGACATCGTGATCCACCCTGAGCTTGTACTGCTTTGCTTGCTCTGCTGATTACACCCCACTTTGGCTATGGGGGTGTGTCAGAATATTATGCTCTAGCCTGCAGTGGGGTGCTCTATAGCGAGTACAACCCTTCTAGGGTTAGCTATTTGTACCACCATTGTTGCTAGTGCAAACCCTCCTTTGCTTCATTCTCTCTTGCCTAGCTAGGTCAACCCTAGCTATGGCTCCTCATCGTGCTAGCTATCACGACAGGCTTGTCAACCTGGTTGATTTGTGAGTACTAACCGCTGTTGGGTTATCTCATGTTGTTCCATCTGAGGCACCGATGAACTTTATCCCATGTTGAAGCACCCATTCCTTTGATGTGCGCTATACGCGTTGCCTATGCTGGTGTTCATCATTTTCTTTGTCACTGTTAAGAATGGGCGTAAAAGGAAAGAGTATGAAATTAACTAATTGTATTTTCAAGCTATTTGTGTGCACTCGGCACATCACCCCCATGGAAATCTGGATGCTGCCTGTATCTAATTTGTTTTTTTATTTTGTTTCACACACAATCCGGGCTTTGGCAGGCATTGTTTTTCCTTTCTTTCACTGCCCTGTTTCCAATTGCAGGCGCTTATCTATAAACAAGCTATCGGGGTCGATACCAGAGCCAATTAGCAGCCTTACAGCGTTGACTAGACTGTGAGATTTTTTTTTTTCTAAGTACTATGCGTTTCCATGTATGTATAATACTTCACACAATCATCAGTTCGCGCTTCTCTCGTCATCAGTCCTTCCTTGCTTCTCTCGTCATCAATCCGTCCATGCTTCTCTCGTCATCAATCCTTCCGTGCTTCTCTTGTCATCAATCCTTCCATGCTTCTCTCATCAGGTTGCTCGCCAACAACAGCCTGAGTGGCACAATCCCAGAGTCCATTGCCAAGATGACAAATCTTGCTGTCTTGTGAGCTCGTGTTTGACTTTTAGTTACTTGAGTTCATCCCGGAAGTATGCCATGCACGCACATGCACACCTCTTGCATGGATGCACACCTCTTGCATGCACACCTCTTGCATGCACGCACACCTCTTGCATGGATGCACACCTCTTGCATGCACACCTCTTGCATGCACGCACACCTCTTGCATGCACGCACACCTCTTGCATGCACGCACACCTCTTGCATGCACGCACACGTCTTGCATGCACGCACACCTCTTCAAGTTTGTTGATTATCATTCAGCAAAGTTGCCAACTGTGTTAACGTTCAAACTATACGGTTGTGCATTCATGGTTTGCACCTCTACACGCTGTCTCTTACCAGGACTGGTTATCCTCAGTTTGATGCTTGCCATCCCGTGTTGCAGCCTTCGCATACCCTCTCTTTTCTTCCCCGCTTGTATAATTCCAGATATCTCGGCATGAACAAATTGATTGGAACAATTCCAGCATCCTTGGCCAACCTTCAGTTTCTGACCGACTTGTAAGCTTTCTGTCTTGAAGGATAGCATAAGTCGCGTCACTCCTCGAAGTTGTTTTTGAGACCCAAGTCGTCACAGAATCGGCGCAGTTGTGCCTTTTATTCACCTATGCATACCATTTCTGCTAATCAGATTTGATACAATGCATCCGCCATCATTGTAACTGTAACAGGCTTATTGGTTTGTGTTTTCTAACGAGTGCCGTAGTAGTTTAAGGAAAAACATGACAGGATTCCTATTGCCTCTACCCAGAATATTCTATGGTGATTTGACTTGTAAGTGGAATCCATGGTGATTCAAGTAATTTAGGGTAGTATTCAAGTAATTGAGGAGCGAATAATAGACCAAACAAATATGTGCAATCTGCGTAACCATTCAGTTTCGGTTTGTATTTGGGCACTTTCTCAAATCTTAACATCATGTTGATACAAAGCTGCTTTTTAACAGGCATGGGAATTTTGGAGACCCACCATGAGCCAGGCAAGTGCTTCACTTGTCCCAAGCTGGCCCTCTGGAAGCAAAAGAAGGAAAGGAGGGTCTTCCTGGCTGGCTGTGGCCCTGTGATCATGCACGCTTGGACACTAGAGTGACCTTTGGCCCTTTAGCCCTTAAACTCCTAAAAGCTCAGCATACAAACTGCACGCACTCCTGTCTTTCCCGCAAGTGAATATTCTCTCCATGCCGTGCTTGTTTCATGCTACTTGCCTCTCAGGGACTTGTCGTCAAATGGCTTGTCCGCATCCATTCCCTCCGCTATTGGACGCATGAGCACCCTGGCAAACTTGTGAGTACTGTAATACTGGATCATCCAGTCTGGATGGATTAGCCAATCCGCATAGTGCATTTTTTTTCGTATATGGTTGGCTACGATGAAATTTCTTGATTCATCATCTTCTCCATAAAAGCACACAACGACTGCGCTCTCCCTCACATTTCCTCCTGTTCCTATGGTTGTTATCTCTGCTTAGCTGTCCAAATTATCTTCTTTTGGTTCTGTTTTTCCAGGCATTTTATGATATTCCTCGATACATCAAGGAATCACTCATCATATTCTCCATACAAGCACACTCACAGTCCCTCCTGCCCCTATGATTGTTATCTTTGCTTGGCAGCCAAAATTATATTCTTTTGATTCTTTGTTTTCCCTTTGTGAGTGCAGGAACCTCTCATTGAACTTACTGTCTGGTCCCTTGCC